GAGCAAGTAAAGTAACGAATAGGCGGACATGTAGGTGATTTCCGTACCGAGGCATCTTCGAATGATATGCATAATACTATGTAAACAGCGATGATATCTACTAGTAAGATGCATCATAAGGCTAGGAGGAATGGCGAACAGCAAAGCCAACTTTGGCGCTGGCTTGTAAAACGTCTATGCAATCATACTGAAAAGTGGTGGGTAGCGAAATCAAGAGCGACGGAAAAGGCAGTGACAGTTGATAACAGAAACTAACGTTTCCGCCGAATCAGAGGACCTAGTACTAGGAATCCGTCTGATAGCGCAAGTGTATCAAAAAACAGTGGTTGTATCACTCATTCTAAACCCAGGAGATTGGATCGATTGGCAAAGCACTTCAGGGATCAACTCTAATGACCTTCAGCCCAACGTCCATTGCTAACAATCTCCCGTCATCTTGAACGACAAATCAATGTAGGTTCTCCGAATCTTAGTGACGTTGATGGAGCTGCAAGAAATCTGAAGAGAAGGAGAGCAGAAGGGCCCTAAAGCAATTTACTGACATTTTTAAGTTGAGTGGTCGAATATCAAAAATTAAATTGACTGAAAACGTAGGCAGACTCTGGTAACTGAGCTGAATCCGTTTTCACTGATCTCAAGCACTGATTGCTCCAGTCTACAAAGATGAGCATAAGTTCAGATTCTCCATTCTTGTTGAACTTTGTTATAAACATGCTTTTTTCGATTACATTATCTACACCGAGCATTTTGGGAGACTTTCTTCAACCACAAGACTCGCTTGTTGACTTGGAATATGCCGATCACATAATTATCCTTGATAACGAAACTGATAGAATGCCGAGGCTTCGGAACACCATATGCAATAAAAAGCATGACTGTGATTCTGTTTACCACTTAAAATGTAAAGTCTTACTTCAGGACTTGATCAAATACGTCCTACACCTCTAATTCACTCTATTATCAATACGATCAACCATACTTTCATTCATTTGCCCCTAGCGCCAGTGATGTAAACAATTGTGTTCACGAAACGTCACTGTTAACCTCCCATAACCCTGCTCCAGTCTACATGTTAAAGCTGTCAATGACTAACCTTTGTTTCAGATATGTCGAAAACATTCCTTCTACAGGACCCTGCTATGTTTTGCCATCCATGTATGTTGTGTCTCCGTAACGCGCGTTTTGGATACTCCAAATATAAGACCGAATTCGTTTACTCTTCGTGTACCTGGAAGCCCTGCTGCTGCTGTATATGACCCCTCTGATGTAGGAATCACAGTTGATCCAAAGGCATAACTGACGCCTTGCAATAAACGTAAATATATAGTTAATGGTGCACTGTCCGAGTAAACGAGCCAGTGAGGATCCAGAAAACGAGAGTCATTCGTCATTGCCTATTTGTTGATAGTTCGTCAAGTCCTGGAATAAAGATATACATATCATTCCGATTTAGCTGGAATATTCCTATTGTGTTCGTCACTGAATATGCTCGAGGCTATTACGAGTTTGCCTTAGTCGACAAAAACGCGGAAGTGACTTTTACCAGCGTCCAGGTAGGCTACCTTGAATCCCAAAGTAAGGTGAGAAGGCTATGTAAGCGTAGGAAGTATATTCTGCAAACACCCAGCGATCACAGTACAATCAAGCATACTACTCTCGTTTATTGATACATCATAGAAACGTCCTTGGGACAGTTAAGAAAATAGCACACTAAAATACACAGCAGCCAATCACAGCCATGAATTTTCCTGTTGGGAATCGAAATCTCAATGTCAACTGATCAGCCCATGCTGGCAAACGTGAAAACCAAAATAAGGCATTCATCAAGCGAATTTTGTGGATCTGACGTCCCCATTACTACTTCCCTTTTTATAAGCGTGATCTCCTGGGTTCGACTTGAATCTTGACTGTCGTTCGTCGGCATTTATCAAACAAATTTCAGGGATCTAACATACCCAACGATTCCAGTGACATAGTTTTACCTGGTTAGGTATGTAATGAAATGATGAGTCATCTGACCACCAGAACAAGTTGTATGGTTTGCAGTAGTTGAGCGTGTCAACCGCTTCATTTTCTTCGGAGTCTGAAAAGCGCTGATGGCACGGTGATCAATTAAATGTCGTCACGGGTACAGAGGCTCTAATTAACTTCGCTAATTTTTTGTCACTTACGGCGGAGGCAAGATATTCGTTCGCGAAAAGAAGGACAAGTCGATTGTGCAGCGTTTCACTCTGTCTTACTATATAGATGCAAAAGATGGCAAGTAAGAGTCGACGATATTCGAAGGTTATTAGTATTCGATTACAAGTGTCTTCGAAGGATTGCTCGTGTATCAATGGATAACTGAGCATGCACTGCTGCCTTTAGGAAACGACTACTTGCTGGAGCTGGCAAACGGCAGTCTTTTGAGCTGATTGAGAAATGTGTTACGTGTGCTCAATAACCGACTGCCTTGACGAGTCACGTTTTGTGATGTAGGAGTAGGCTTGAAGAAATCTGAAACATGGCACAAATACATGAATTCGCTGACATCAGATCTGAGCCATGTTGGTCAGTTTACATTGTCACCTGGTTTGGGTCCACGACACGATAGTAATCGATGGTTACAGACCTTGAATGACATGGATCGAAACCGTTTGCAATCGCGCAGATACATCCACTCTTTGTGTGCTCTCAAATTGTAGTCATCTGAATTTGTCATCGCCTCTGTCTTTCTGTTTCTAAATATATTCTACTGAATTATAATTTTCGAATAATTTTTTCGAACCCTAATATTCTCTAGTACCTCTGAAGCTTCTACTATCTCTACGACTATGTGATTTGCACTGATACTCGCGTGTCTGTTCTAATGTGGTATGGCAGTCTTTACTGTGTACCTACGTACGCAATTAAAAGTTGTTATTGGTTTACAGACTGAAAACTACTTTTCAGCTGTTTATTGTGAAAGTGAATGGACAACTGAATATTCCCTACAGACGTCAAGAAAGATGTGTTTATCGTCTGTAGAAGATACCGAAGACGCATTGGCCAGACAATGTCAGCAACAACCAAATGTGAGAGAAATCATTTAGACTCTAGATAAGAGGAAATCGGTAGTGACTGCATTTTGGTGCATGAGCTTACTTTAGATCCTCAAGTCCAGAGGTAAACCATAAGTAGAACCAATTAACACATTGCTCCGAGAATCGGAGACAGACATGACATGAATGAATGTCAGTTGGATAGAAATAGGCAGAAGTGGTCTAAAAATATGGAAACAATATCATGCGTAATTCACTGAAGATTTCTGCTTTTAGTCGCCTATTGTGAAAACATAAATCAGAAATTATATACTTGATTATTTCTCATTTTTGGTTTGTTTATTTTTAGTTACATAAGAGTGGATCATGGTCCAATATGCAGCCTTAGTAGAGATGCTCATTGCGTAAGTCAACAATATACTAAAGTATTCAGTATAATGATAATGTTACATTCTTATGTGCGAAAATTACCAACCAGCTGTTTGATTGCAACACACAATTTTTTGATGAATTGATGAACCGATCATTAAGGGGTATTTTGTCTTACTTTGAGACTCATAAGAAGTAAACATTCTTGACACACGCAATCAGGACTCGATCACAGAGCTTTTGGCCTCGTCTGTGGAAGCCTAATATCTACCACTCAGTTGGATTACAATCATGTTGAAGTATAACATTCATGGATTCACAATGGTGTGCAACTTTACCCAATATCTTTGATGTGTGACTAACTTCAGCAGACAGTGTTGAACTTTACTGGTTACGAATTCTCATGATTGATTCTTTACAATATCAACATTTTAAATATTTACATTTTGTAGGCGAGTTTATTATTTACTGTCCACTTAATGGGAGATTGCAATGCAATAAAAGTGATAAATTATACTTACTCAATGACTGTTAATATCAGCGGAAGTTCAAAGAACTTTTCTGTCGATAGTATGACGTTCACTGTCACACCAAAATACACTCAAGTAAGCATTGATAGATTTACTCGAAATATGTTATTCTTGTTTCTTTACTTACTTATCTCACTTATTTATTTTCTTAAATCAAATCATTTTGATAATTTTTAAACCCACCGTCGACCATCACAATATCTTGCGTTGTACAATTGTATTCATAGTTCATTTCATATATTCTAATAATAGATTAGTAACAATCAAAAAATTAAAAATATACACATAAGATAAGGATCAGTACTTAGACCATGAAATTATCAGTGATTTAACATGATTCGTTTAGTTAAAGAGGTCGGTTTCGAACTCGTTAATGGCTTAAGCTATATAAACCTTCAGTGAGTCAGTTTTTAGTGATGCATGACAAGGGTTGACCGTATTTGCAAGAATTGAGTCAGTTATTGCGTTTTATCGACCATCAAATAGAAATATGCGATATTTGTTTCAAAACAGCACATGCTTTGTACGGTTAATAGAATTTCTCTAATCTTGTCAATAAATTAACTGGTAAATGAACCCATAAGGTAACTAAGAGTGACAAAGGAATGAAAGTAATTTTACTTTTTTGAAACATCCACATTCTCCTGAATAGCTGAATAAATTGACTTATCGTTATGGATATTTTCCAATAAATTTATGGAATGAATTTCTAATGAAAAAAGAATTCAATAAAATATGTGATCGTTTTGTAAAATGCCTGAAAAATAACAAACCACCAGTTGAAATCGACTGGCAAATATAAATGTATGCATTATATAAAAAAATTCTTATCGAGCTGGTTTCCGACAGGATGTGATCGATAAACCAATGCCTAACCTTCCTCGTTTTTCTGGATTTTGGATCGGTAGTAACCCTAGTGATCCTCTAGCCGAACTTGGAATACCTGAATACTCAAACATCTTACTTAGATAATGAAAGAAGTTGCAAAATATTTTGTCAAAATGGTGCTTTAAATTGTTATTATTATCATTATTATTTCCCACTTCAGATACTAGTTCAATCCAAATCGAATAATGTAGCAATGCAACCAGGTGAAAGGCGAATAATGTCTATTGATTATATATTCCCATTGAATTCGAACTATTCTAATTCTTCCATTAAAATTATTGGAACTGATGTCAATAGTAGCAATGAATCCATTATCAGTATCATTAATTTCAATATAAGTTTTGGTAGTAATTTAGCGCCAGTAACTAATGATTATTCAGTTGATTATTCATCAATTTACCGAACAAGTCAAATGGATCAATTGATCATTTACTTTAAAAATATCCGTAACATTGGTAAGTGGAATTCAAAAATATTCTACTCTCATATTATACAGTGTATGACATATAACTATGTATGTGCACATGATATCATCAGCTGTTTTATGTTTGAGCTGCCTGTTTCATCCTCGCATCCTCACATGTCAACAAATTCTGGTAATTGCGCAATCTATTCAGGTGCGTATACAAAAGGTTTCAAGGGCTGTGACTTAACAAAGAATAAAGTGGTATAATCCAAGTTGTCTCAGTGTCGGCTAGAAATGTGCTGTAACAAGCACTGATGTTAATAAAATCTTGACCAGTTTTGTAAGAGTTCAACTGAGAAGCAATGCGTTGGGTTGCGCAGCATCGTGGATCGATTGAAGTTCGAAAACATTATAACATTGGATGGCGTCTCCGTCGTCTCGAAGTTAGGCATTCGATAGCGAAACAAAATGTCATGAGTTTGATCCCCGCATGCGGCTGTCATGGATGCCAGTTACTGTAGTGAGACTAGACGACTATCCAGTGCTTCTAGATTTCTAAAAGTGATCTGACAATAAATGATACATAAATCAATCAACTGTATCTTTCCATTAACGTTTAACTAATGTGAATACAAAAAGCAAGTTGTAAATTTAAAAGAAGTAAAAAATGTTTTCACCTTTCATTTCAATTCGTTTGGTTTTCATTTTACAGGTACGTCAAGTGTACCATCAGTGAGTAACACTCTTAGTCTTTCAGTGGAAATTCAACTGAGTGATAGTAGAAATGTAGAAAATGGAACTATTTGGCCATTACAATTCACAGGTCAATTCAATACTGTGACAAATCTTACCCAACTATTTATTACTTGTTTAAGAAATGGTTTAGAAAAACCAACAATCAACGTTATGTCATCACAGTTATCATTATTTACTCCCAGTGACTGCCCTAATAGGTATGTTGAAAACACGCACTTGAACACTATTATACAATTATATTTTTCAATAGTTTGCTCACCTCTAAGCCAGAAGACAATGGAAAATGGTCGCCTAATATCTGGGATTGATTGAAGTTGGAACGTAACACTATGGAATATTGTCAGTGTGGTCTACAGGTTAATTATCCATGTGACAGAGCAAAGTTATTTGGTTAAAATACTTTCACTTGGTTTGTAGATGTGTACTAATGAGGAGTCTCGTACCAGAATAAATACAGAAGTCAATGGAAAATGGTCGCTTATATCTGGGACTGATTGAAGTCGTAACTTAACACGATGGAATCTTTGCACAGTAGTCTAGACGTTAATTATCTGTGTGCTAGAAATAATAAATTGAGTAGATTCTTAGGTATGTACTTCTGCTGAGTCTGAAACCAGAATGAAGTAGCTGTTCAGTGCTTTCGGGTTCTCAACAGCGGTCTAATTTAGGTTGATTGTTGATTTCAGTATACTCGCTGGAATTAGGAAACATCTGAATGCGTTTATACGTGTGTTTTGAAAGATGGAATGATTTTGTAAACTTTTCAATTTTTCTCAAATAATGAATTGTTCGGTTTTTGTATTCTAACAATCAAATAAACAAATGTTGACTGGTCCGTTAGTCGAATATGCTTCAAATCTAGCATGTAACATGTGATTCCTGATAAAAATTCATCAGAACACTACATCAGATTATCAGCCTTTAAGACTCAATAACCAGTCATTCATCCAGAACAAAATGACTGTGTAAACCATATCTGATTCTATGAAGAATATAAATGGACTTGTCATGTTTGGGTGCTTATTGATTTGCTAAATGATAATTTACAGTGCAGATCACCTAGTTGAGTTACTTGATTTTTATTACTTTATTCATTGTTTGAATTAGTAATGTATATATGAACCGTATTTTGTGTAATTTTATTGTCCAGAGATCAGGTTCATCTTCAAACTATAGTGAAAATGATGAATGGTACAGGATTGGAATGTGAGAGGCAATCGATAATTTTATATCTCAGTCCACAAATAAGATCAATCAGTGTAGTTAACCGAACAGGTACTCAAAATAGTGTAACATTGAAAACACCATTGCATCCAATAAGTAAATCAGTTCAATTCCAAGTAAGTTTCAATGAGTCTTAATATTGAATACAATGAAGTATCGAACCAAAGTATTTTGCAGGCAATTGATAATCTGTTTGTAATGTTCATGAATTCTACTAATCACTGAATTCACAATCATGTATACAATTCAGTGATTACAGTGTACAGGGCAATGCCAAATATGTCAAGTTCCTCTAAATTCTGACCGAAGTCTATAAATCAATTTTTCATTTAGTCCAAGTGACTTGGATTCACAAATACGATATTAAAATCATAGGTACGCCTTGCAAATGTGTGTTGAATAATCGAAAACCTAGATCGACGATTTCCTGTTGACAACGTCCAATCACTGTATTTATTTGCACAAGAAATAGGACTAGCAATTATCAATATACAACTTTTTTAACTGTTTTGTATTTGTGTTTGTAAATAATAAACTGGGTCCAACAGGACTTCATGTACCTAAGTGGTTGCGTCACAGAATTGAGTTGTACTGTTCAGGTAACAATGTTAACACCCGAACAGTGTCTGTTTATCCAGAAAACCAACGTACGTCTACCCTCTCATATTGTGAATAATTCTAAGTATTGTTTTTGACAATTTATTTTAATGAAAGTATTTATGTGATACTCTCGTAATATGTTAACTCATTAACATGAGGTTGTATTATTTGAAACGGTTTTATTTACGTTTGTACCAAAAGATTTGTATATAAGGGGTATTTCTTCACATCCATATTGATCACTGATTGTTAATCCAAACGTTTCTGAAATTGCACACTAATTCATCTCAATTTCTTTCAGGTAGTTCAATTGGTTTTCTGTGAAGTAAATAGATAATATTATTCTTTATTGTTATTTTAGACTGGACCTTTATATTTTGGTACAAATTATACTATCATATTTAGCTTAAAGTATAATTTATCAATTAGTAGATCGATTGTGAAATTTCCAGTTTTAATTGAACTTGTATGCAAACCATATGAACGTGGAAATGCAGTAGGAAACACTTGTTCACAACCAAAATTTTTCAAATTTAGATCTCGTATACATGTTGCACTTGATTATACTTGTAAGTTTTTAAAATGTTTACTGATAATTAGAAATTATTGTTATTAGTTTAAATTACACCACCTCTCATGTCGCAGATGTAGGTGATCTGTATTCTCCTTCTGCGGATCCTATGCGGAGAAAAAAAGAAGGTTTGGACATGGGGTTAGCTATCCATTCTCGAAGATAACCAACTCGTTAAAAAAACACTAGCCGGAAAACCATCAAAACTGTGCACTGGGATTTAGGAAGTCTTCACTTAGAGAAGTATCATGCAAAATGATGAAATCATTTTTCTTCCTGAAGTCATAAGGCCGATGTTCATTCTGACAACGAGAGCAAACATTATTCTACGTGAATGTATTGTTCATAGACTGTATGAATATATATGGCTTTTAAAAGGGATATTGGAATTTGTAGTGATTTGTCGAACAAACAACATTCTATTGATTATTTTTCGAAAAAAAATCTTGCCAGTAAATATATATTATTCCAGTTATCAAGCAATTATCAAATTTTCGACTGTTTAATCATCGTTTTCTGTGAGGGAAAAAATGGAGATTTCTGTGAGAATTATATGTGAAAAAGATCAACTGCTTGAACAGTATTGTCACTTCTCTGTATTTATTTATTTCAGTAAACGATTTTCAGATGTTATTAAAATTATAAATTAATAAATGTCAGAACACTATTAAAAGCTCGAGGTTTACTTGCAACTACTGAGATTTGTGAATGCATTCTCGTTTTTAATTCTACAATAGAACGAAATGGCTGTCCAGGACTCCAAGTCTTTTGATCAATGATGGTCTAACATTGATCAGTTGAAAATCAATACTTCAGTGGTACAAAAACAAAACAATATGTATGAAATTAATGTTCATCTCTTTGTGACTTTTCTAGTCATTCATATGCATTTTAGGTTTGGTCTACAAATTGATTCGAATAAAAACTATTGACTGAGTGTCAACCACATTTCGGCGGTAATAATGATGATGATGATGAACAGCAACTTATTTGCTTGTCCAGTGCTATTGATAGTCTTCTCACGTGCCTCCAATTCTTAGTAGAATGTGTTATTATGTCTAAAGAATCTCCATTTATCTTGAAGTTTGCAATCCCTAGCTTGCTTTGAAGGGTAGTCTATATAAATACAGAGTTCCTTACTAAATTCTGACAACTTAAATAACATTGACTAGCAGTTAAATATTAGTAACTTCACTTTTACGAAATTTCTATGATTACAAACCTCCACTTCATGTCATTTCATCATGTTTTCATGTCGACTGCTGACTAGCCTTATCCAAGTAAGGGCGTTTCTTAAAACTCTCATCTTCTACTTCTAAACGCTAATCAATTTTTCACGGCTGCAATTTTATGGTAGGATTCTTCAGTCAGTCCTCTTCATTGATCTAGGCATGAGATTGGTGATCACTCGAAAGAGTACTTTTTCCAATATGAACATTGAAAAAAACTTTTCTCATCAAAATGTAATAATATTCAAATGTCCTAATGGTTATCTGCGAATCACTTTTCGTTGCCCGTTAAAACAAATCATGTGTCACTTCTTTGCATGTGATCATCTTTCAACTGTATCACTTCAATATCATAAACACTGTTTACAATTATCAATAACATTATTATTTAGCATATTTTTGAACTTTTATTCACTAATTTATATATTAAGATCCCTGTGATTTACCACATTATACTGCGATGAAACATTCTGCTGTACAATTACCTAATCGTCAAACAAATACATTTCTAAATGTTGGTGATTATTTATTTTATTGTGGTCAAGCCTTCAATATCAGAGGTTCATTGGTTTTAGAGAGGCGTTGTTTTATGATTAATAAGCTACCTAATAGAACATGGTTTGGTAAGTTCTCATAAATGAAATATTTATTCATGCTTGTTCATTCATA